CACAGTTTTTTTAATACTTCAATGTTATTTTCATCTGCAGCAGTCAACATCTCTTTCCATAATGGACGATCATTTAGTTCATGATCCCAATAATCTTTAATTTTTACACTTGATTTCAAATCTTTCGGTTGTCTCAATGGATTAATCAGAATGTACATTGTACGAACGAATGAATGTAAGTCATCTGTTGGTTGCGGAGTGTAAGGTCCCATATCATTATTTAAAATATTATTTGAAGCATATGTTGATGTTCCCTCATAAGTCACTTCACTAATAGGATTATGAACAGCTGACCCCCAATCAACAAGGATGAGCGAATCAGTGCTGGTATCTAACATAATATTTGAGGGACGTACATCTCGGTGGTAAATTGGTATTGAATGAATTTTCTCCAAAATTTGTAGAAGCTCCCTAACATGTTTTGCCTGAAATAGTTTTTTGTTGATTCGCTTACAAACAGGGTACATAATAATCTTTTCACTGTCATGTGTAACATATTCGGGAATGTTCTGGACATTTGAATTTTTTAAAAGTTTTAGAATTCCCACTTCACGCTCTGTGACAGAGTCATCAGGATCAGTTATTATCTTTATAACAGCTGGTCTATTATTCCATTTGATTCTGTATACATCAGCAGATGAACCCTGACCTAAAAACTCCTCTAGACGTATATTAATGGATCTTGAACGAGTGTGAGAATGTTTAAAATTGAAGGTTATACTCCTAACTCCGATAGCTCTTACAAAATCTGATTTTCGGAGGATCAATGTATAAAAAAGGCGCAATCCTTCCGTAAGATTGGTTAAATACTCCTGATACTCTTTAGTATGCCTATTAAATGACATGACATAAAAGTAAGACCCGTCTGATAAAAATATTGCGAAAAGTTTGCGCAATGGTTGTTGTCGAACGAGAATACGAATATAGTCTATAAGTTGTCCCTTTTCTTCATTAAAAAAGCCAGTATGTCTCTTCTGTACCTTCAACTCCAGAATCGTTTGAACTACCAAGGGAATATAAGCACCTTCTACAACATCTTCTGTCTTAAAAATGCTGATATCTGGCATTAAGCCGTTGAGATATCCTACATCATGTGTATCTTTTGCAGTGATTTTATCCCATCTTGAGGAAAATTGAGTCATCAATTTATTAAACCAATCTTGAACCGCCGCCTCTGTTTGATGAGTTTGATTAGAAATTTGTTCGCGTTGCATGTAACTTTTCACGTTAAGTGGGAGGAAATTAAGTTGGGATGCATAAAGGTTGGATTCACATTGAGTGAGATAGTATTCACAATCAACAGTTTCAAAAGCGGTGTTTTTGTAAACGTTAGCACGTGTCACCGAACCTGGAGTGTGTAGAATGAGATCAGAAAAAAAGAGTAAGATGAACACCTTGCATCTGAATCAGTACCTTCTAACTCATATTCTCCTAAAACAGCT